CATCTCATCTCATTTTATCTCATTTTATCTCATCTTATCTCATTTTATCTGGTCTCATCTCATCTCATCTGAAATTGATCTCATCTCATTTCATCTTATTACCTTTAATCTCTTTTCCTCTAATCTTATCTTATCCTATTAAATTATTTTTTTCTTTATTCTTTTTTTTTACACCTATCCTTGTCTTTATTATTATCTTTCTTTTCAATATTTCCTTATTGTTTCTTTTTTTAATTTTTCTTTTTCATATTTCTATTTTGAATTCCATTTTTACTTAACCACTTTTATTCTTATTTCATTCTCCTCAATTAACTTATCCTTTTCATCCTTACGATTTCATCTTATTTATTATTCTATCCTACACTCTTCTCTGATGTTTTACATTCATGTTTATTTATTCATATTTTTTTAATTTTAAATGCACCCTCTTCTTACCTTACACTTTGTGGTCTCATTGATGAGCTCATATATTAATGCATTTCCCACACTCGATTTTAATTGCCTCACGATCTCCTCGTTTGTGTATTCCTCTGTTACGTTTTCGACTGTGCCTGCATGGATTAGAAATGAAAGATTGGAATGGAACATGATTACATCAGATTGATACTTAGAATGTGTCCAAATTGTCTGCATTCTGCATTGTGCATTCTGCTTTTTTCACCGACCGCTTATTTCTACGGCAGTCTATACTGCGAACCACTTTCTTGGAAAGCAGTGGCATTCAAAATTATTTCTTAATCTTTTAGCTGTTGTTTACAAATTTAATTGTTGCAATATTTTATGTTTCTTCAGATCTTCACGACTAATTGTCCATCATCCCTTTTAACTGTGATCCCTTTGTCCTGATCTACCTTTTCTCGTCCTCACTTCCAACTTTGGTACGCAGTTTTAGAACATTTGCGAATGCTGCCATTCATGACTCTTCGATCCGCTCCGTCCAATCTCAAACTGGCCACCAATCGATCCTATCTTTTGAAGTGATCATGTTGCAGTCAAAGTACACGGGCCCATTTTTAGCAGCGGACGCCCTGTTTTGATGTCCGACTTCCGTTCTCCTCAGCACTACTTTCACATTTACTCACTTACTTCGCCAGCAGGAACAAATCTACTTTGTCGCAGGTGGTCCGGCTAATCACGAAAAAGCTATTAAAGTGCTGTCCAACCTCGGAATAAACTGGAACTGTTAGCAAAGCTGATAATATATATTATTGCATGCAAAAAACTAAATGCAAGACGTCTTCCCAAATTCGTTTGGCAGTCTTGTTGTGGTCACTTCCAAATGGAGTAGCAGTAGGATTCTGTGAACAAGTCCCATCCGGCACTCTTTGCCTGTACGCTGTTGTAGATTCGAAGAGAGACTGGGTTTCGATAAATCTCTTGAGATAATATTGTTGGGGCAGTTTAATTTCGTCTAAAAGTGCATGAACAAAAGATTCGTAGGTCAATCTCACTAGAAAAGCACGAAGGAATCGTGTTGTTCGGCTTTTATACGATGTTCAGTACCGCTATTGCGTATACACGCTAACACACACACACACATAAACACATAAATACATGCTCACAATCGAGCAAAAGTAGCAGTACCAGTATGAAAGATAATTAGCCAAACCACTCTATATCTTTCGAAGTAAGTATTGTTTTCGTGACTGGCAGTAAATCAGTAGTATGAGATGTATTCACCCAATTTCGTTTAAGGTGATGAAGGACTGGTAGAAATTTGGTGAATACATCTCATACTACTGATTTACTGCCAGTCACGAAAACAATACTTACTTCGAAAAATAAAGTAAAGTGGTCGATTGTTATAGCAAAACATACGTTTGCTTCATCGACAATTCCACCAAAAGATTATGATATGTCAAGAAGGTCTGGCCTTCCTTGAAAATTCACATTTGCCCTTTGACCCCAAAGGCGCTCGTGGCAGTGCAGCCGAGTGGTTAGGGTTAGGGGGTGTTCGAGTCCCGCTGGGGGTGTTGATAAGACCGATGCGAGTTCGAAACTGCAGTTCACTCCACCCCGGATGAGAACAACTTTTGGGCAAGCAAGGCTATGCAAAATTGAATTGAAACGTCAGCTCAACTCATATGATTGTGGGAAAATAATTCTTCTACCATTCCTTCATCACCTTAAACGAAATTGGGTGAATACCTTGCATACACTTTATATCTACCTCGATTTTGTGATTTTCTTTTGTTTGACTGAGTCTCTATGAGAAGTAAGATAGAGCCGGATAGTCCTCTTGCCCAAATCTATCCAGGAATGAGACCCAGCTCTGATGATGTCCATCGGATGATGGCCGCAAGCCCAGCCCATTTTCACCAGAAACGAGAAACAAGGTCTCGTGGACTGCGTCAACCTGAACGTTGTATAAAATCAGATCAGCGTGATTCATCCATCCTCTCCTGGTGAGATTGAACTAAGAATCTTTTCTTTATACACTTTCATACGAAATGAAAGTCACCCCAACAATGTACGCTGTTGTTTGGTTTGATGTATTTCATATCCTCCAGACAAGGCCTTGGAAGATATTAAGATAAATGGGTTGACCTCGTTGTCACAACTTGTTCTTGTTGTCAGGGTGACTTAGTAGAACGAACCTAGTCCTTAGTCATCTGCCATCTTAGTTGTCATGATTCCCAGCATCAGTCAATGGACTTGGTACATTCTCAAACGTTTCGCCGGCATCGTAGTTGGTACATTTTCAGGCGAGGCCGGAGAAACGCTTGAGAATGCAGCAAGTCCACTGTCTGACGCTGGGAGTCATGACAACTACTCTGGCAGACGACTTCGGACTAGGTGCGCCCCTGACAACAAGACCAAGTTGCGGCAACGAGGTTAAACCACTTCTAAGGCATGGGAAGCCTATTTGAGATCGTGTTATTGCGGCTCGATTGCAAATGACCACCCTTCTCGTCGGAGGGCTTGGCAAAGTGTTTCCAAGTCAGGGTTGCAGGCTTTGCCGACGCCCAGCACGGATTCAGTTTGGTGACAAGACGTTGAACAGAAGCGAGTCCCGCCAATTTGGAGAATCGGGCCAATGTCTTCTACTCGCTTTCCACATGCAAGTGCTGACATAACAACATGTGGGTCCTCATGGATACACATTTTCTATTCACACAAACGAGTTGCATGTGTATGTTTGCATACACTTTAATCGCCCCAATCTTGACTTGAGGGGCCAGCATAAGATTCACTTCGCTTAATGACCTTCGTTGCTTCGTGAAGCAAGAGGTTGAGGCAAACAACGTCTCATGCTCTTTGGAGACGTTCTGGAAGGGATAACCGGAGAGTATAAATTGCACCATCTTGGCCTGCGGTAAATTGGCCAATGACTGCTCTGTCTAAACGACTTTATTTTTCGAATTAACTATTGTTTTCGTGACTACCAGTAAATCAGTAGTATGAGAGATATTCACACAATTTCGTGTAAGGTAATGAAGGTCTCATATGATTGTGGGAAAATTCTTCTTCCACCAGTCCTTAATCACCTTAAAGAAATTGGGTGAATACATCTCATAAAAACGACTTTAACCAGACATCAGTCATACATCTCGCTTGTAGGACACTTTTTCCCAAAGTCATCCTTGAAGTGGGATCCAATGAAGCGGAGACAGATACGGTTTCTCCGTTCTAGGCGAAAGTTGCCTTTATTCATTCGGATATTTTGATCATTGTAGCATATTTAGTAAAGATTAATCATTGTGAATAAAAAAAGAAATTATTATCACTTTTATGAGTTAAAACTAATTAGAACGTGTTATTAAGTAAAATTAAAAATAAGAAGTATAATACTTGT